AGAAATAAGTTCTCTAGTATGTGCCATCAGGTGAACAGAGAGGACAGAGGGCCTCGCGTGTGTGATAAAAAACACGCAATCAAGTTTGTTGAATGTTGTTTTTGTGCCATTTATGAAATTCCCCTCTCTTGCGGCCGCTGTTACATCGGGCATTCTGGCCGCTGTATAAATGACCGCCTCAGGGAACACCGCAATCTAATGCGGGGTTCTGTTGGCAGCCACTTAGCTGCGCACAGCTCCATTTGTGGATGCCGTGCATTGTTTGACAAATGCAAGATACTTCGACGCTACAGAGATAAAAGGACACGTGAGATTTATGAGGCATTCTGCATAATCAAGAAAGGCGATATGTGTGTCAGTGCACCTTCGATAACGCTCCTCACCAGGGAATTGGCGTATTTGACAAGCGAATGATTGCGCAATCACAGTTTATTTGTTATACGCATACAATCATAACGAAAATTACTCTTTCATGTCACTCGACTTCTCTCCCTCTTTTTTCAAGTTTCGTGTGCTATATATACACCCCTGTACGAAATAAATTTTGGTTGTAAGTCAGCGCCTCGTCCGTCTCTTCTCTGTCCTGTGTCCTGTGTTACGCGCTGTTTTTTCACTTCGTTGACTATGTCAGGCATTCGGCGTTGTCCGCGGTGTCTGCGGCGTCGTTCTCGCTCTCTCTCTCCAAGCTAACGCTATGAGAGAGGGAGCATTAGTGAGTGCTAGAGAGATAAGCTGTCTGTATTATTTAGCGCTAGAGCTCGCAAACCAGAGATGCCTTTTAGGACCATTGTCAGCGAAAATAGTACGTGGCAGGTAATGGTGAGTCGTTACCTGTTGAAACAATTTAACACTCTTTTGTTAGACGACCCGTTCTCTGTTGAGAATTCCTGTGACATAGTTGAGTTTATTCAGGACAATAGCTCTGAAGAAAATTTTTTTTCTTTGTCGATGATGAGGATCTTTTTCATTCTGTACCACACAGGGAGTTACACGGGTGCGTGCAGTCGTGCATAGAGAGCAATGTGTCTGTGTCTTTCATTGACCATGCCGTAGTTCCGGTAGACAGTTTTTTGGCCTTCTTGAAACTTTATCTTGGAGCAACGTTCATTTCTTTTGAAGACGAGTTGTTTGTAGAAAAGGAAGGTATTTTTATCGGTTCGTGTGTAGCCCCTGTACTGTGTAGTATCTTCCTGGCTCAAATTGACCGACACCCGGACACTGTTTTGTCTAAAGACAAAATGTTACGCGTTTTTTATACGTGGACAATTTTTTGGCTCTCTTGAAAAGGGAGTCAGATGAACCCTACTCTGCATGTGTCACGTCTGTTTTAGACAAGTTTAGAGCGTTTGGGCGAGGGGTCAAGTTCACCCACGACCTTCCTGTCAATGACAAATTGCAGTTTTTATATATTCTTCTAATGCTTTACAAAAACTATGTGTGTTTGATGTATCACCCTAGAGCTCAGGAGGCTTTTTTGCCTTATCATTCCGCCCATTCTAAAGTAGTGAAAACGGCCCTTGCTAGCACGAGCTTATAGTTGGCTCTTACCAGGTCCTGCCACCGCGTTCATGAGGAAAGTTTCAGGGTGCAAATATCCAGGCTCGTGTCTGCGTGTTTTTCTTTGTTGATGCTAACGTCAGTATGTGAAGCTTTACTCAGAAAATTTTGACATGACGCCACCGGCGGTTTAGGCACAAAGAAAAAAAAAGACAGAAAAAGCAACCTGTTGTCATTTGGTATGTACACAGAGTGGATCATTCAATGAAGAACGTCGCCTCTCGTTTTGAGGTCCCTGTTGTGTTCTCTGCACCTCGGAGGCTTTTGCGTATTTGTGCTCGTTCTTGTGGCGCACCAAGTGCTGATTGTGTAAAGAAGCATGAAAAAAAGTTTGTTTTTAATTGTTTGGTAGGTGTTGCTTACTTCATCCTGCTCAGTTGTGGCAAGGTGTACATTGGCCAGTCGGGCGGATGTGTAAATGATCGCTTAAGGGAATATGCGCTGTCAATGAGAAGCGGCACGGGTTCGCATTTGCCGTATAATTGTAAAGAGTGCTCGTGTGAACCACTACTGCACTGCACGAGAATTTCGCGAAGAAGCAAAGACAAAGTGACTCCGAATTGGCAGAGGCGCTGTATATTAGGCAATTTGGCGATTAATGTATCAGAGTTCCGTCTCTTTCATTTTGTGATAATGAATTTGCTTTTCTATCTCATAGGTTGTCATGATAGTTGTTCGGTCATTTCGTGTGATTCTACGCATACTTGAGGGTTTCATAAGATGAGCTTTTGCTTAATAAAAGTCAGTTGCGAGTGTGCGCTTTTCCGTGTCTCTTCTTACGTCTTCTATCAAGTTTGCGCCAATGATGTTTTACACCGCTGTACATCAACTATCCCGACACTATACGCTAGTGCACGTGAGGCGCTGCGCGATCGATTAGCCATGTTCTCCTCTCGCGAGGGTGAGGAGCGCCGCCCGAGAATCGGAGGAGACTACAGCCGATGGCGGCAGGAGCTCGGCCAGCTGATCGGCCACGAAGTTCAGCGCCACAAGCTCAGTGGTCGTAGATGACGCCAAGACGGGAAGACGGCACTTTCTATCGTCACCGAGTGCTGGGGTGATGCTGGCAGCGGCCGCCAAGCCATCCCTGTTCACCGAGCCGTCAGTGTGAACATGAAGATGGTCGGCATACCGCTCCTCAATCAGGGCGCAGTTTTCATGTAATAGGGCAGGCTGACGTGTGTGCCCCTTGTTGCGGATTCCCGGAATTCTGGTTGATATGACCAGCCGAGAGTCCCAGTGTGGTGGGATGGGCAAGAGTCCGGAGACAGGAGCATCAGTGATGAGGCCAGCATATTCCAGCGCGGTGCATTCCGTGCCAGTGTGGGGCAGCGAGAGAAGTCGATTAACCAGCGCCCTTCCCCCTTGCGTCATTTACATGTGCTCAACGTGGCGTAGAGCTCAAATCTTGGCTCTAAGTGAGAGGGTAATTTGGTTGGCCTCGGCGTACGTCAGGCCCACTGGTAAAGTAATACTCTTAGCCATTACCGCATGCTGTAGCAGCCGTATGAAGGCTATTTATGCTCCTACTTTGTTATAGCAGACTGTGTATTGGTTAACAGCCATAGAATTTAAAGTAATAATGGACGTTCGGTAGACATCGTTGTCTGCCCTTTATATGTTTGTGTCATCCCTTAGCGCGAAAGTTTAAATGCGAATGCATTTCTTAGTCGGGGCATGTCAGGTGTCTGACGGTGTCCGCGTGCCGGCTGATGTTATCTTTTCGCTCTCCCTGTCTCATAGCAACAGCTGTGGGCGCGCGCGCTTATCCTCGCCTCTACAAACGGAGTAGGGAGAGAGAGAGAGAGAGAGAATAAAATAAGAGAAAGGCAGGGAGGTTGACCAGAAACTAGAGCATCCGGTTTGCAACCCTGCACTAAGGAAAAATAAAATGGGGAAGAAAGATGAAAAAGAAAGTGAAGAGTAAAATAGACGTGCGAAAAAGAAAAAAAAAGTGAGCTGGGGTGCTAAAGCCTCTTCTAATAGGTCATAGTTCAACAAGGCCTTCACTGATTTTCTGTGTGAAGACAGATCATGGCGGCTTTCAAGCACTGACTGTCCTGACAAGGGTCTGTCGTCAAGGCGAGCTAGCGCAGCAGCTAGCGGCTGTCTTTGCACGCTGTAGCGAGGGCAGTGACAGAGAACGTGCTCTATCGTTTCATCGCTGCCGCAATGGTTGTAAGCAGCACTGTCTTCCACGCCGATTCAGAAGGTGACACCAAGCCACAGTTAGCAAAGCACCGTTGCCTCAAGTCGGGAGAGTCCGGGCGGACGCCGAAGTGGTGGACGGTGATTTTTGATCCCCCAGTATCTCTCGAACGCTTTCACTGAAGCTCAACTCGGGTCGTCGCTTACTACCACCCGTCATGGCGGCTCCAGACAACGCTGGGTCGTTCGCCGCCGCCGGCGCCCTGCAGCCTCCGCCTTCCGGTGCACCGTGCAACAACTGCCAGCGGGATCCACCAGTGCTCTCAGGTCTACGAGGGGGCGACGTCGAAGAGTGGCTTCAAAACTTTGACCTCGGTGGGACAATCCCCAGAAGTTGCGCAATGTCCCTTTCTGGTTTGGATTCATCACCTCTGGTTTGGATTAATCACAAAAATCTGGTTTCGATTCATCACCCAGATCTTCGTGACTGGGAAATGTTTACACAGCAGCTTCGCCAGATTTTCGGTGCCCCCACACTTCGTGCTGAGGCGGCGAAAAAGAAGTTGGCTGAGCGCATTCAACGGCCCGGGGAATCGTACATCTCATACATTGAGGACGTTCTTGTATTGTGCAAGCGGGTCAACTCTGCTATGTCCCAGGCTGACTGCATACGCCATATTATTTAAGGTGTAAATACGGTCGCTTTTAACGCCCATGGGTTAAAAGGGGAAAACTTTTATGGTCTAGGCTTGTCAGTCGTTCATGCTCACGATGACGCTGATGACGATGAAGAATAAGCGTGATCCAGGCCACACATTGTGTTTTCGCCATGGATCAAAAAATTGAAGTACACTCGCCACGAAAGGCAAAGCGGCAGCCCCGACAACAAGGTGGTATACTCATGAGGCGAGAGTGCGGCATGCGGCGGCTCAACGCCTACGTCGACAGCAAGGTGGTACCCCGGAGTTGAAGGCGCGGAAAGCAGAGGCTCAACTGCATACATTCATTGTATGTACTGTACACACGCGTTGTCGCTCATTTGCATGCGTGAGTGAGCAATTTCACGAGTGATCTATGGCAGAAACAATCCTTAGTGCTTCGGCCACTCGTTCACTTTGATTCACTTGATTCACTTTGGGAAGATGCGTAGATTTTTTTTTTCGAGAAACCAGCTCCTTTCTTTCTTTTCATCTGTTGAATTCAGTGCTAAGTCGTCCTTGTGACTTGTTTCAGATTTTTCTCGTTTGTATGCTCTTTTTTTCTATTTCTAACATTTTTGAATATCGCAACCACAGGGAAACGAAAGCAGTCAAGACGAGAAGGCTGCGTCTGCAATCTGGGCAGTGAAGATGGACAACGATCTCTGCGGAAAGGCCATTCAGGTATGCGCGCTCAAAGTTTCCTGGAACGTTGAAGAACCCCATGTGATCGAAATTTCCGGAGTCGTGCACTACGGCGTCTCTCATAATCATATGGTGGTTTTGGGACGTTAAACCCCACACATCATTATCATCATAAAGATTGTTGGAATTCTTTAACATTTTTTTTACTAATGGAGCGTAGCTATCATATGGTATATACAAACTGTTAACGACCTTAATTTTGCTTGCTAAGAACTTTAGGTGACCCTAATGCTAGATTTAGGTGTCTTCAATGGCGCTCAATCCCAGTGTTTGGGAACTTGAGTTGGGTAAGTTTTAGAGTTAAAGAAGACTGGGCGTCCTGGAGCAATTGCTTACTGATTTACGTTCACTGATGCGTTGACATCTAACCACTGATCAGGTGCGCGTGGTTCAAGGACACGAGCCAGAGCATTTCCTGCGCATGTTCAAGGGACGTATGATCATCTTCAGCTGGTGGACACGCCAGCGGATTCCGCAACCTCAGGGACCACGACACGTACGACGTCGACGGAACGCGCATGTTCCACGTCAAAGGAACTTCAGACGTCGACGTCCGGGCAGTCCAGGCAAGTTCTACTGAGTTTAACGATTGCCTCCTAGCCACAGAAGACCAAACTCATTCTCTTTATATGTCAGTAATCACCGATATGCTTCTTAAGTAACGCTGTAAGGCTTTCTCTGATTTATAATCCACGAGGCAAACTCAAATTGTCTGTTGAAATTATTTAAGCTTCTTTGCTCTATATCATTGTGCGTGCCGTGACTGTTTTCAAATCTACAAAGGAGCAGTCAATGAGGTTGAACGATAGACGCTTTATTTCTAAATAGCCGTGTTGTTGCTCTGGGGGTCCAGCTTGAAATGCAGTTGTGAATCCCAATCTTATTGGTTCGGCTCAGCGTGCCTCAAGTGGGTCATTGCTTGAAGTACAAAAAAAGTAGATTTTTGAACGAGTTAGAATACGTAGATGATGCTCCTTGGTATTTCTAGTAAATATTAGGCAGCGTGTTGTCGTACTTGTGGCAAACCTAACACGCGGATCTGCGATGTCCTAATTCAAGGTAGCGTAGTTGAATGGTGCGTCAGTATTAGACGATCCTCCGTGTGTGTTGCTTTTAAACTACCTGTTCATTGTATTCGCGTAGAGCTTTTTTATGGCTTTTAATTGGCGTGGGAGTGTAATTTTTAACTGTACTACATGCTGCCACGTACCGCAGGTAGACGAAGTGGCGGCTTCGTTGAATTCCGAGGACGTCTTTGTGCTAGAGACACCAAAGAATACCTTCCTATGGCTGGGAGAGGTAAGTGGGGCTGTGTGTCGTTTGCACGTCAGATGCCCAGTGACTTGAAGCCCTTATATTCGTCGTATTTATAAGTTCGTAATTTTCGGAGATGTGCGCAGTGTGCTAATCTGTTGACTTTCTATTGCCCACCCGCAGTTTGCCGACCCATCAGAGATCGCCATGGGCCACAATGTGGCGAAGCTTGTGTCACCAGATAGGTATACGCTCTCGTATATTCCTTGTAGCATTGCATGTCAACAGTGCGGAGTTATTGCTGTAAGTTCATACTTATTGTTCGTTTTAGGGGCGAAGCTCCTCAAGGCTGTGGGTCTGTCATGCCTTGTATGTATGTAGTAGTACGTAGCCACTGGTGGCACATACCCGCTCTAGAGCGGGTATGTGTTACCACAGGGGATGCGAGATGGGAGATCGCAGTACTTGGAGTGTTCACTAGATGGAAGCATGGACGGACGAATAGACTGACTAGCAGACGGACGGATGGATGGACAAACGGGCGGACGTACGGATAGATAGATGGACGCACGAACAGACAGACAGACAGACAGACAGACAGACAGACAGACAGACAGACGAACGGACGGACGGACTCACGATCAGACGCACGGACAGATGGACGGACGGACGGACGGATGAATGGACTCACAATCAGACGCACGGAGGGACGGTTGGACGCATGGATGGACGCACGGATGGACGGTTGGACGCATGGATGGACGCAGGGATGGTCGTGCGGACAGACGGAAGCATGGACGGGCTGATGGACGCTTCGCCCCACTCATCATCCTTTACTCCGTGGATATGCTGTAGTTTTTTTTTACAATTTTAACATGCATTCAAAAGTGGTAATAGCTGACAAAATGTGGAGCTCATCGGCAGTAAATTTTTTAATAATGTCTAGTTCATAGGGAGGTACAATAGAGTTATTGGTGCCTTTCATGTAAGACGTCTTTAGAAACTCTTCAGCCAGTCAAGGCAGACACCTCTGCCACATTGAATGTGAAACGCAGAGGCCCTGCCTCTTCTGTGAAGAAAGCTCACTAGAACTTTGTACAGAGGTAAAAAAGAGTGATGAACTACAGGAGTTAAACAGAACATATTCCTTTTGGCAATTTTCTATTGAGTGTTTCAAAAATTATATGGGAAAACGCGCATATATACATAGGCTTTGTAGTGGCGTGATCAAAAAGGAGGTTTGCCAAATTCTTAAACTGTATAATAGAGCTATTACATGGGAGGAACACATCTCGATTTCATTCTTCAAAGAGACTTTGCATTTTCGTAACAGAAAACAGCGCTGCGTGTAGTCTCGGTTGGAGCTCGAACTTACACGGGTGTCGTGCGCTCGTTGCGATCGCAGGCAGGCAGTGGAAGTGAAAGAGGGCTCGGAACCGGTCGAGTTCTGGAACTCGATCGGCGGCAAGGGTGACTACAAAAAGGGACACCAGGAGGTTCACAACCCGCTGCTCGAACCCCGCCTGTTCAAGTGCTCCACAGCAACTGGAAAGCTGCGCGTCATCGAGATCTGCAACTTCACCCAGGAGGTATAGACAATTTTCACAAGGAGGCAGCCATTTTTTCGCCGCAGTGCCGTCTATAGCGTCTGCCATGTTTCGCCGCCGTGTTGGTGTGTGGAGATATGCGGCGGTGTGTGCAGCGTATGCGCTCACAGGGCATTGCGGTTCTTCGCCGTACACGGTCGAAATACAGCAACGCTGCGCGAGCGTAAAGGCGTTAATAAGTAATCGATAAGCCGTCAGCTCCGAAATTGCTGAAACAGAAAGCGGAGACGACCCACGAGACGTTCCCGCAGTGGTGCCGACGATAGGCAGGAGATGAGCAGAATTTCAAAGCATTCCTAAGTAGCACGTGTAAATGGGCAACTGGTTACTATGTATGTTTTGTTGTAGCTGGCCTTGTGGGAAGTTGGGGGCATGCACTAGCGTTAAATTTTGGGACAACTCTCGAAGTAACCAGTGAAATCTAAAAGGGGACGAGCGAATACGTACGCTATGGTCCAGCTGTGCTTTAAGTGCGCGTATTAGTGTTCTCGGGTTTATTTGCGTGATTCTTTAGGTTTAACGTCAATCTTTATTCGCTTGCAGATCATTTCGTTTCGCTCAGGAGGTCACAACACAAAGTTCATAGAACGAAATAAGCGCCGGTAAACAGTGATGCTCGGTTCGACTCGTTACGTGGTCAAATCTTGTCTGGTCGTTGCGCATGTAGGATAACAAACGGCGTAGAAGCAACACAAAAAGAAAATGAAAGTGAACGTCTTGCATATCTGGAAGCACGGCATGGCGTAAGTGCGCTTCGGTGCGAGCACTCACCACTGGAGATACTTCGAGTGCGCGCCCACTTTCAGTAACACTGTCGTCGTTTTTTTAAGGATATCCATGACGAGTGCACGTTTTCAGCAAATAACAATCGTTTGTCGATTATTCACAACACTATTCACAATACATGACAAAAATGCAGTTTTCATAAAGCATCCCCAGTGTTATCGCCGCAACACTGATAAGTTGAGAAATGACGTGCCATCAAAAAACGCTGGAGGCACGTTCCTGAGCCAAAGAACGCTTAGTCAAGTGGGCCTTTCTGCTATGCAGTTTGAAAATCGCTCATTCTCTAATTTGTAAATTTCACAGCGCTTGGATTTCAGTAGCCACAGGCGTTGCAATTCATGTGCTGTTGCATAGAAATAAGTAGATGCTGATGCCACAACATAATTCTGGGCAAAACATATTTTTGTGGTAACCAACCACTTTCAGATTATTTCTCCTTGCTACCGGTTACGAAGTGTAAAAGCACGCAAGCAGAATTGCAAGCTGGCGTAATAAGGAAACAGTCTCAACGGCAGACACTTCATATAAAAATATATATGTCTGAGAAGGCCTGTGACACAGATAAGTCATTTCGAAGGACGTTGCACCTCGCATGTCTCGGCTGCCAGCTTTTTGCTATTTCGATAGTAGTTGTGGCAGCCAAATACAGCGCCATGGTAGCCTGTCAGGCTATTCTCGTCCAATATTTCTATTTTCTGCAGTACAACTGCTTTAGCGCATCAAAAAAAAAAAAAACTCAGAGCTTTACCGCAAAAGCGAAGCAATGAATGCGATGGCAATAAATTTGGATGTCACGTGAAGAATGGCAAGTAGATCAAAAGGTGCCCTGCGTTTCTCGCGCACAAATGACGCATGAAACGTACTCTCTTGTACAGATGAACGCGAATAAGCGTCTTAATTGTTACTTCCCTGTTTCTCAAAAGTGCGCCCTTTTCGCAAATGGAGACTGTGCAACGATTGCAGTGACCTTTGTGCGCCCGGTAACAACATAATCGTTCCGGTGAAAGCCCGAGGCCAGCCAAGGCTTACGATTGTCCCAACCGCGAGGTAAGCAAGGGCACGCGTGACCGTCCACCCTGCCCGCTCTCCGCAGGGCAAAGTACGCGTGGGAGATGAGAGCGCGCGCCACTGTGTCGTGACGATGTGGCGACACGTGCTCATTGCTCTGATTGATTGATATGTAGGGTTTAACGTCCCAAAACCACCATATGATTATGAGAGACGCCGTAGTGGAGGGCTCCGGAAATTTCGACCACCTGGGGTTCTTTAACGTGCACCCAAATCTGAGCACACGGGCCTACAACATTTCCGCCTCCATCGGAAATGCAGCCGCCGCAGCCGGGATTCGAACCCGCGACCTGCGGGTCAGCAGCCGAGTACCTTAGCCACTAGACCACCGCGGCGGGGCGTGCTCATTGCTCTATCTTGCAGATAATGCAGAAAACACGATAGTTCCCCCCGAGATGCCCATCACCAGCCATAAGTGGCAGATATAAATAGATATAAATAGCTTGTTGTTTGAACGTTGAAGGAGGTGCTCCTCTGAGGCTCAGTGTTTAACGCCTCGCACTCACGTTACAGAGGTCCGACGTTCGATTTCGCGCGCCGGAGTACTTTGTCTGTATTATTTTTATTTCTTGCGTTTTCATATATATAATATATATATATATATATATATATATATATATATATATATATATATATATATATATATATATATGGTATGGTATGGCATGGTATATATATATATATATATATATATATATATATATATATATATATATATATATATATATATATATATATATATATATATATACCATGAATGCCGCACGCTGGCGGCAGTCCACATAATTGCTATTGCAACGAAAAAGAAACAATGCGGCAATCCCCACACACCAGCGGCGGTGGCAGAGGAGAGGGAGGGGAAAGAAAATGCTCCGATTCGCGGCTACGCTTCTCACCGCTAAAAAGGTCTGCACGCGCAGCTGACTTTCATTTTGTTGTCGTCAACTCTACCGCATTTACTTCATTACATGTAGAACGAGTGCGCGTGGCGTTCCTTTAGGCATATTATCTGCAGAGTGTTTTTCTGTCTTGCTTTTGGAGTGTTACAGGCTTTCTTGCAAAGAACAAGCGACGCAATCACCTGTACCTACGGTTTACACGGCTGGTCGACATCATGCCCGTTGAAATACTTTTACTGCGCGCATTTAAAAGTAATAAATTTCTGCGAGAAATCTAAACAATAGATTGGATAAAATGGTTAGGTTACTTAAGAGAGAGGATGGAGGAAAAATGTCTGCCGCCTTCTGTCGATCAGTACCGCATCTTTCTTGGAGCAAAATTACAAAAAAAAGTAGGTGTGCAGAAATATCCACAATTTCGAATACATCTAACTGTTTCTCGGTATTCTAACTTATGACATTTTTTTTTTTCAGTTGGGACACGAGTCATCAAAACTCGGTGCTTTCTGAACAAAGTACCCTATGATTATGTACAATTTTAAAACATGTGATGATGAGCTGTTATCATGTTACATTTGTGCCAAGTTGTCATGTTCCATAAAATACAAAGCGATCGTTTGTCATTTAATAAGGGGCTTAGGTTTCCCAACATGCAGGTGTGTATAATACTATACCCATGCATGAAGTCTTTGCATTAATATCTTCTCAGTAATCGCGGTAAGCCATTCAGTAATATATTTCGTTGGGAGAAAAATAATCGGCTTTCATTTAGTGGGATGTGCTTCTCGTTTAATGCTCACACTCAAAAATATTGATATTGCAACACTACTATATTGAGAGGGAAAGCGTGTCGTGGCACCTTGAGGTGTGGCACCTAATACTGCTGTGACCGATTGCGTTGTGGACTAACGTGACAGGGACGTCAGTAAGAATTCTTACCCACCTTACTGTTCATATGGCGGGAAGTTTTGAGCGCCTGCGTACGGGAGCTGACGCAGACAGAATTGCGGGCTAATCTAAATGCATTACACGCAAGAAAGGATTGATTCAGAAATGCTCCGCGGGATTCTGCTCGCATCACGAAGTGTATTGACTACGCAGGATCTGGACGTCAATGACGTCATGATGCTGGACAGCGGTGAGGAGATCTACGTCTGGATTGGGAAGGGATCCACCGAGGAGGAGAGAACCAAGTCGCTCGAAGTGGCCATGGTAAGGCGCCAGGGTTTGTTAGTCTTTCTTCGGGTACTTCGACGTGGAAATTTCGGTCTGTCTCTGTTTTTCCTGTGTCTGTCAGTCGCTCTATTCAGCCACTAGAGCGAAAGTTTAATCACTTGCTGAGCGACCACCCATTTTGACCTCCTGGTTGCGTTCATACTAGTTAACATTGTCAATCAAAAAGCTAATTTTGCCCGTATTGGGGCGCTACATCAACTCGTGAGTATGGCGCAGTTACTTTATTCTTAAAATGCATAAATGCGTAATTCTTAAGACCGCAATGTATGAACGAAAATCAGGTGTTTCCTACGCTTCACTAAATCTTCTTGGTGCTACCACCTACCAGTGGATTTGCATTCTAAAAAAACTTCCTTTTTTGAATTGCTGCTAGATGGCGCTCATATCTCACGTAGTGCCTACTCGCCGATTTGCTGGTGTAGAACGTCTAATAAATGCTTTATTATTTTGCTTTCCTAATCGAACACTATCGTCTTTCGGCTACCTTTGCCAGCGAAGCGCACAGATACGCCACTATTTTTTTTACTATAACCAGTAAAAAAGTTTAGTTGTATTTTGGTTTCAATTGCGTTGTTTCTTGATCGACCACAGCTAGTAGGTCAGTTTGTGCACTTTATCCCAACCCGCCACGGTGGTCTATGGTTATGACGCTTGACTGCTGACCCGAAGCTCGCGGGATCAAATCCCGGCCGCAGCGACCGTCTTCCACGGAGCCGGAAATGATGGAGGCCCGTGTGCTTAGATTCGGTGCACGCTGAAGAATGCCATACGGTCAAAACTTTGGAGCCCTCCAACACGGCGTCTCTCATAAAGATATCTTAGATTTTGGAGCAAAACCCCAACAATTATTATTATTATTATTATTATTATTATTATTATTATTATTATTATTATTATTATTATTATTATTATTATTATTATTATTATTATTATTATTATTATATGTGTACTTCATATTCCAACGCCACTCTTTTAGGGGTAGCACAAATAATTTACCTGCGCTGAACTAAACACAGCGTCTAGGGTAGCTTCATTTTCCTATTGTTTACATGCTGCAACTAAACGAGAAACAAAAGACATTGACCTATAATTTTGAGCAAATGAGAGAGTTTCAGTGCTGGGGCCCCAGCGTACACGTGAGCCCTTGCATTCCTTTGTATTCTACACGGCTGCGGTGGTGAAAGAAATGCGAGAGCGTTGGGCCCCCGGTTCTGTAGTAGTTCTTTGCTGCCATTGCGCGCTGTCGGTCACAGTGATACCGTTTTCCTGATTCATTTGAATATTTGTCAGTAATCCCGTGTGAATTTTGTGTCAAAGTGTCCCTTCCTCCCACCTCGAGCTGTACTCATCCGGCGGAGAAAGCCAGAAACATTTCCTCCCGCCAAATTTATGAGCAGTGTTGTGACGTTATTCGATTCGCAGGAGTACGTGAAGACAGACCCAACAGAGCGAGACCTTGACAGCACTGCTATCATCACTGTGAACCAGGCTGAGGAGCCGGATGCATTTACGGCACTCTTCGACCACTGGGACCACAACCTGTGGGAGGTATGCATCTGCGGAAAAAGTATTCATAAAACTTTCATTCTTTTACTTTATTCGTGCATGAACGTAAAACAAAAAGGCAATCGTTGTTCACGAGAGCTAAGTAACGTCTTCGGTAATTTGCTACTGCAACAATAAGTAACTTTTCAGTTTGTAGTTGAATGTGACAAATAACCTTCTGCCCGTTATATAGAGACTGCTCGAAGAATATTGATGTCGACTCTCGCTCTATCCATGTTGTTCTCATGATAAAATATGCTTCCTTAGCATATGGACGTGCACGCAAGAGAAAACAAGTGGAGAATTTTGTATATTTTGGAAACAGAATTTGTGGGGATTTTACCACACAGGCGTTTCAGTCAGCCTATGGTGGAGCAAGGGTGAGAGATATGTAAACGATCACTTTCGTTTTGCTTCTTTCTGTGCGGTACTTCTTTTAAAAGCCGTGCTTCACCTTCCTTGTGGGAAGATGTGTATTATTTTTTAGCGCACTCGTCTTATCACATGGCATGCTGTTTTAGTCGATTGGTGACCGTTCGGTGGATACCTAGGGTTGTGGCATGAGACATAACTATAAATAAAGCCGGAAGAATAAGCATGAGGTAACATCTAATACGTTTCGCATGATGTAGCTCCTGAGATATACTAGATTTTTATGACATTTTCACTCATGACTTTGGCAAATAATTGAAATATCGTCAAGAAAAGTATACTGCTACTGTCAAGAGCAGTGTTCGACGTATTCGTAGAGCAGGCTTTTTTTTTTCACGTGTATATAGTTAGTGTGTATGCCGAGTTTCGATCAATGACGAGCCACAAACTACGCGTTGCAGTGTGTTATCCGTATGTGCGTGAATGTGACAGCAGCGCATCTTATCGCATGATTGTAGTGGCGCCTAATGTCGCATCAGTAAAGAACGAGTCTGCATTGCATGTTTCCGTCGAACCGATGCGCATCAGTGGTATACGAAGATCAACAGTCTCACCTTTCATATCGTAAACATTAACTGCATGATGTTGAGAATGCTATAAAAGTTGTTTAAAGTCAAGTTACCATTTATTGCTTACACCTACTGAAGGCATCAACCCCTTTTGCGGTTGACACGATGCGCCAAACGGCAAAGATGCGATGCTGTCGCATTCACGCAAACGACGCTTGCGAATCGTCCTCGTTGTTGACACCATTCTTTTTTTTTTACGTTTCTCCTCCTGCTCCCTCGTCCTGTCCCCGCTGGCGGCCGTGCAGAAGAGCCGATAAAAACGGCAGCTGGTCGCTGCGCCAATCCCCAAAAAATGTTGTTGGCATGGCCTGTACGTACGTTGGGTTCTAACCACACCGGCACTGTCCGGTTTTCGCCCTGGCTTCGCTACTAACTCTCCACGCTGCTCACACGTAAAAAATGAGCGCTGATAAACACGCATTAACACCGTTTCGCACGTCTGGTATGTTGATGAAATAGCTAGTCTGACCTTTTTTGTTCTTCTTTTTTGATATTTCGCGTAACCGGCAAGCGGTACCTTCGTTTCGAATGTTTTACCGTGTTCACAAAAATAAATCTTTGTGCAACTGTACTATATTATCAGCGCCTGTAGTAACGATACCGTAAAAACCAACATCGGAATAGTTATCTTAACGCCCATTTTCTCACGCGCATGCGCAATGATAAGTATAACTTTGCTTGAAATCGCGTTGAGTAATTTACTGCCTCGCATTTTTTGACATTCGCGTACATTTGGAAGTTGTTGTGAAAGTGTGGCTGCTTGTCTCTAGAATTTACTTTCGTGCAACGATACAGCTGGATGATATGATTAGTATTATCCTGCAGCGCTTCTAGCTACATAGAAACATATCTGGGGGATGAATAACTGAAATTGGTATTTTTGGAGTTGCTATAAAGAAATAACTACATGTAGTGACGCCGTATCGTCGAACAACAGCTTTGTGTTCACTTCAAATTTTTTTGCTACATGAGCTCGATTTTTCAATTTCTCTTCAGGAACGCCACACCGGACGCGTGGAGGTGAAAACGGAAGAAGTACACAGTGCTAATTTAGATATGTGGTTCACGCGCATGTGGTTATTTGGCAGTTGAACGCTGCATGTGCATGAGGTACAGCTCTCGTATGGGACGATCGCGTGAAAATTGTTTTTCATACAATGCGGAGCAATTCAAACCGCCTCTGTACGAGATGCATGGGCATTAATGTAATGGGAATTGACGTAACAGCATCGGGTCTCCCAGCGCATGCTTAGTCGTCTGACTTATTTTGCTGCTTGCACTCGAGGCTGCGGCATGGCTTTAACGTTTTACGAATGTCTCTGTTAAAACCTCTCTCCATCCACATTTTCTTTTTTTTTTCGGTATTACCACTTTAACCCGTGGTATAATCTTCATCTAGAAAAGAGTGCGCAGCCTTATCAATGTTTTTGTAGTTTTATATTCGTAACACTATGAGGGCACCGCATGCTTCCTGACGCAGAGGTCATGAAATGACGACAGGGACGCTAAAGCGTAACTCAGTTATGAATTCATCGTGTGCACGGCAATTGTGCTAGAAACGCTTTGAAAAACAGCAGATCTGACTGGATTTTGTTTCGATATGTATACTTTGTGGACGGCGCTTAAAGCATTAATTGACCTTAATCAACCCACGTGTTCGCAGAAACACTCGTTAACTGACGTGAAACTTGCTTATTTGACGGGATAGAGAAACACTAAAGATGATATTATCATTGTTTCCGTTCTGAAACCTCTAATTTGATAATATAAATTTCAGGTTTGAGGAATGAGGAAACGAACTGTAAAATCATTAGTGTCTTTCTCTTTTGTCAGTTGCGCAGTGAATCCACAGTGAATTATAATAAGACGGGAAATAGCACATCTTCAAAAACACGTTTGCTGGGACAACTGCACACGCTTAGTGCACTTGCTGTGTGCATGCATTGTCATTGTCACCCCGCACAATCAAACAACATATAGGGTTGCCACCTGTCCAGTTTTAGACCATGCTCGGCCGGTTTTTTAGACAGCGAGGCGGTTGCCGGTCCGCCCCCGCCCTCAATGGTTGGTTTTTTTCAGAGCAGTGAACGAAATTTCATTCTAATCACGGCTATATTTCTGGCAGCCATTAGGCTAGTACGTGAGCTCAGTGAGCGTCTCTCATAATCATATGGTGGTTTTGGGACGTTAAACCCCACATATCAATCAACGTGAGCTCAGTGCGTAAATTTTGTTTGTAAATCAGGTTTATTTGGCTCACGGGAAGCAATGTTATATTAATTGGCACTGCATGCATGCCAAAGACCTAACATAACGCCTATTGTTGAACACTAATTTGATCTCCCGGTAGCTCATCCCTCCGACCCCTCCATCGAAGAGCCGTTTTTGTGTTCGAGAAAAGGTGGCAACCCTCACATCATCACTTGCAGTTCACTAAGATCTTGCAAGTGAGTCCTCTCTCAATGCTTCGGTGACGCTGATGCGTTCTTGTTCACCTCTAACTTAACGGATATAATAAAGTGAGGCCCAAGTCAATCGTTGGCGTGATGACTTTAAACAATATGACGACGGGTAACACATTGAGGAGAGCTAGACTATCGCTTATGTAGAAACAGGGATATAACTACTTAGATCCAACCTTTTTGTTCGTATAGCTGCCGATGTTTAAGCTAGTGGACACGCAAAATGGAACTCGATATGCTGAAAAACTAGGCATAAGTTCTCACCGTTTTTCCTCCCGAATTGTACGAGACAAAACTAAGTAAGCGAAAAATGGCTGTATTTTGTTGCCTTGTACATCCAAACTCTATTTAGGGTAGTTTTATTATTGGAGCAATTTAAAAGATTGACTGAAGGGAAGGTACTCCGCCTGGGTTTTTCATTACGAAGAATGAGTGCGTTCGTTATGTTATACTTAGTTTTTTTTCCAGGGCATAGTTTCACTCATCTGGTCGTTGTATATTTGAGCACTGCAGAAAAAATATTGCAAATGTCTATTACCATGACTCCTCTGACCTTTCAACTGAGGCGGAACAGTGAAAAAGTGGCTTTATTGGGAACAGGGGGAGTTGAAGTTCTTCCTCGTATTTGACGAGCACAGAGGTGACTCACTTGCACAGCACTGCATGTCGACGGATTCATTGGCCCTGAAATATTTCTGTCCCATTTCTTTTTCCGATTTCTAACGCTCTTTCGTATTGGCGGCGCCATGTTCTTTTTCCAGAACATTCCCACGTACGAGGAGCTTAAGCGTCAAGTTACCCGACTGTGAGTTTCGGGGCGCCGAAGAAAGCCTGCGGCCACAGCTTCGGCCAGGCGACGCCTTTCTGTTGTACCCCGGGCTGTTGGACAGCGAGACGGGAGCTGTCTGCGCGTGCCTTTTCAGGCTTGCAACATTCACTCCCTGCACTCCACATTTTGTCTTTTCTTTATTTCTTTTTGTCGAAGCCATTTCCGAATGATGGCTTTTGCTTTTGTAAAAGGCCACTGCCTCTCGCACCGATTCTCAGTGGCTGAAAATGAAAAACGTCCGCGAACATCGCTACCTCGTCAAAGGCAGACCCCTCCGGCTAAGCCTTTGAGTACATATTTAATGTAGTCCAATATTTGTAAGTGAACATTAACCAGCTGGCTGGGCTAGCTTGTGTGCCTTGTGCCATCAGCGATCCTATAGCGGCTGGCAAAAGTAAACAGAAGTGCAGGTTTCTTGAGTTTAAGTTTGTGTAACGGAGCCCACCAATTGCCTTCAAGATATCAAGCGATACTGAGGCAGCCTGATCTCGGGAGTCGCTCTTCAGTGTGTTGCCGTGCTCGATATCCCGAAGACAGCATGTACCCCGCGCGTCACCCGATCTTTGAGGCCGCAATAGAAGGAGATAAGTTTTGAAATTTTCCGTGTTTAGCACAGATATCGACGCCTGTCCTTCGCAGCATTGGAAAACGAACTATTTTTTGGCAGGCGGAACTGAAGCATTGCAAGCTTGCTGTGGTTTAGCGAACTAGGACTTGCATTCACAATTCTGTTGAGTATGCCACAAAGACATTCTGCGCTGAGTATTTTTGTGCAGTGTACATTGACGTGCCTTGCTGCGTGGATGAATTGCGTGTGCCCCTTGCATGACGCTCTAGCAATCGAAGTGATGTTTCGGACGTAGAACGTACTTACGTAACAATCTTCGCTCCTTATTCAGTGTGAATGCCAGTCGAACGCACCAGCTTTTAATCTATGTTTACGAACAAATGAATCGCACCACTTTTTCACAAATTATTCCGCCATCTTTCGCGTTCAATAAGTATTGTTTGCCTCGACGGTGTGTGCAAGGACTGCACTTCGAATAAGTCGCAGCGTTCTGTGTGGTACTTTTGCGAGATACATAAACTATTTTAACGCACTTGCGTATTGTCCAGAGTGCTGACGTAAATTATGTGACCCAGCGTAAGTGTGTTTTAGTATGCTTCGTTTTTTTTTTTTCAGTTTTTATGATGAAATAAAGCATTCAGTGTTGTTATGGTTGGCTGTAAGTGTTCGTTATTAGATACACGTTAATATAGATATGTTACTAGAAGCGTCAGATGAAATTTAATCGATCTTACGCCTACTAAGAGCTATGTCAAAAAATAAATTATTTCCCGTGGCAAAGTATAAATATACATACATATATACATACATGCATATGCATGCTTACATGCATGCCTGCACGCACACATACATACGTACATACATACATACATACATACATACATACATACATACATACATACATACATACATACATACATACATACATACATACATACATACATACATACATGCATATATTAGCAAATTATGATAATGATGATGATGCATTGAAGTTCAATTAGTGTGATTACTAAGACGAATGCCGGGTGTCCCGCCTAAAGCAGTTTGATTCCACATGGTCATGCACTGGCTGTGGAACATTTTCCTTTCATCAACTTCTCATTCATAATCATCAGTGGGAATGTGCCCCTTCAGGGCAAAGGCTTCTCCCACGTTCCGTCAACCATCCCATTCCTGTACTTGCTGCTGTCACGTTATACCCGCAATCATCTTACTTACTTTTTAGTGGCGGCACAGATGATGCTTCATCATTATCCTTCGATGCGAGGACGAATATATATGCAGATGGCTCTTGCACCGAGGAAGCGTCAGCCTGTGTGGTCTTTATACCCGAAATTCAAGAAAAGAGAAAGTATAAATTATCGCACAAATCTTCTTCAACGACATCAGACTTGGTGGCTATTTTCAAAGCAGCTAAGTTTATCTGCGAGGATTCTGGGATGCAGCAGCGGGTGGTATGCACGGATAGCAAACCAGCCCTTGGGATAAGCTAACGTGCGAGATCACCTTACAAAAAAAAAAAAAGGGCGTAATAACACAATGTGTTGCAGAAATCTAGAATAGGCCTCAGCGCAAAGGTGGTTTATCGAAAATTACCAATAAACCAACCTGAATCACTTTATTTTGGCGTAAACAAGCAACAGGCGCAGCGGCCGGCATCACGAGTCTCGCCGCCGCCTGTGATTGGTCGAAGCTCCGTGACATCACGCGCGGAACGGTGATGACAGCTGGCTGCGCTCTCCGGCAGGCGATGCCGGGTTTTTCTGTTGAAAACGGGTAGTTGCTGTTAGTATGGTGAGCTGTGAAAGCCTCAACGAGTTTCGCTGTACATACGTACATGTTCGAGCCGGTCGCCACTGTAAAAGCGACGACCGAAGAAGTCAGCGCTGATGATGCGGCACAGGAAAACTAATCTCAACCAGCCACCTTCACCCGCGTCGGAAACAGACTGGTACGTATAAGATGCATGTCAGTGCTCGATTTCAATGTAGTAAACCGATACCGCGGATAATAAATGTGATAAGGAACAACGGCATCGGCACTAGCTTGTAGCCGCGTATTGGCATGGTCGTGTGGAAACATCAGCTGTTGGTGGATTGCGCTGCTCAGAGTGCAGCGTTGTCGATGCAGTCAGTATCGCCCTTCGCAGCGGGCAAGAAGCATCCGATTAGTCAGTGTGCTGCCTCGAGAAAAAAAAATTAGGCAGATGCTACGTCTCTTGGCGATCGAGGTTATGCGAAGCATGTGGTGGAAAGGTGACTGTGTTGTGAGTTTTTATTGAGCGATTAAGAGATGACGCTAAAGTTATGAACAAATATTGTGCGCACGGACATATGTTAAACAGCCGCATGTTTACGTTGCGTAACGATGCCAACAGTGGCATGGGTATTAGCAACACCAGAAAAGGACACGTAAGCTGATATGTAGCGCCCTTGCCAGCGAGGATGGCGGCCCTGTACAGTGCTAGATAAATCGGCTTCAGTGGATGGCGCTTCACTACAATTTTCGCAGATTCGGCGTGACGGCTGTACTGATAGCAGTGCATATGTAGTGTTTATAAGATTGGATATAGCCAGCACTGCAACCATAGTTTTGTTAAATATACACGATAGGGAACTCTGGCGCTAGTGTCTATGGGAGCTGCGACGCATAGCGCTTCGGCGAGCATGAGGATTATGGCTACGACATGGATTTGTCTAGTGTTCGTACTTTACGTTCATTTTGGCTTTGCGTGGCTTGCAGCCGCTTTGTCGAAAACAACAATGGGCAAATGTTCAGTAGTTACGCGGGACCACCTTAGTCTTTTAGGCTTACGTGCACTTCAAATCGGGTCATGAAGTGAGAAACAGTTTGTTCTGTCCTTCGAAACAAAACCAAACCACAGCAACAAACGAAGTCACAAGTGCGTTCACCACCAGCAGGTACAATTAGGCAAATCTATGCCATACCCAAAATTCACATGGTCGCTGAACTATCGCAGCGTCAATGTCCCGTCTGGTTAATTTTAGGAAACACCATGACTGCAACCACACTTGACTTTTCACGAACATTACGGTCTACTTGAAAAGCAGTTCCGATTCCGAGACTTTCCATCCATGCATCTCTCCGTCCGTCCATCCACCCACGCGTCCATCCATCCGTCCTTGCGTCCTAACGTCCGAGCATCTGTGCATACGTCCACTGTTCGCCCGTGCGTCCGTTCATCTGTTGGTCCTTTATACTAGTCGGCGACTTCAACGTAGACATTATGGAGCTTACTTCCTATAGCATTCTCCACTCGTGGTCATTCGCTTCGCGGTGATGCACAGGTTTTTGTTAAGCTTTCGAACAAAAATTACCCATGTCCGCACCGTTCCTTGATTCACATTGTCACGATGTTCCAGAAGCACTGGGGAGGGAGGGAGAGTTATTAAGCCACCGTGTAGCTAGCGTCTGGACAATAGAGAGTTTTAGTACTGCGGAATGGTGCTACGTACGCATCACGCAAGCGCCTTGCGTTACGTGGCGTAGTTTGCCACTAATCGGCTTTTAGTACGCCGTAGTACCTGCGTACGTAACGAGCGTGAAGCGTGTTGCGCCATCTGATAGATCAAAATAGAAGCACGTGTTGTTGACAGCCAATGTGAGCCAATCCAAGTGTTATAGCCAGATTATGGCCATATTTTAAGCCACAGAGCCGGTCGGTGCTTGCTACAGTGTACTAAAATAGAGGCAGTGTGCTCACAGGCGGTGGTGGGTGACCCACTTCGTGTCGACGCCGAGAGGCGGCGCGGCTCGCAGCGTCACCTGAAACTTCTTTGCGCGCCGAAGTAGAGAGCCACAGCGCAATTGTTGAAATGCCAGAAATTATCCAAAGTTCGCGACATGCAATGCACGACACTTCTTTTGGGGCATCTTATCAGTGTGCAGGGCGTGAAGCAACTGACATTGTATTATTTTCCGGCCGTTTAAATGTTCAAAGTGGTTTCGCTAATGCAGCGGTCATGTCGACTGTGGTTCCGAGGTGCGAAAAACACTACGCACTTTTTTTTTTCGCAATGTCAGAATTAAAATTTTGGAGTTTAAAGGGCCGAAGCCACACTTTCACTATGAGGTGCGCCATAGCGGAGGGCTGCAGGTTAATTTAGATCCCTTTAGAATTTTTAACTTCAGCCAAAATGCCGACACACGGCTTGTTTCGTTTTTCTCCTCCGTCAGGAGAACAGCCACCGCGGCTAGGATCGAACACACGTCCTTGGGTTGAACAGTACAACGCCTTAGACAGCCTCCACGCCGGGTTTTTCTTGATTACGTGCCTGCTGCAGGAATGCGCGCCCTAAACCCAAACTTTAACCACCATGACAACCACGCACGACGTTTAAAATTCTAGCATCGCTGCTTCGAGACTTTAGGTGATGATTGGTGTGTGGCGTGATTATTGCTGTAAACAAGACGTAGCATCATTATTATCAACAGCCTGTTAGGTCCTGCAGGACGGAGACCTCTTTCATTGATTTACACCCGCTCCTGTCCATCACTGCCAGAGTCCATTCCATTCATTGCCTCTGAATTTTCATATTTCGTGTATCCATCAAGTTAATGACGTAGCAAATTAAAAAGAAATGATAAAAATCCATGTAAATTGATGAAATAATGTTTATTTACAAATAAGTGATGAAAGAATTTGCACAAGAAATATTAGGGTAAAAAAAGGCTGAATAATGGCAAATCGAGACATTTACACATTGATATGCACCATTACTTGGAAGGAGTATTTAAACAATAACAAAACGACAAGCAATGCTCGGGCTCCGCTGGAACGTCATCCTGTGTGAAGTCGCAGTCCTCCCCTGAATCACCAATAGCAGCCCGTGGAAATTCAGTACAGTCAGTCTCGAGAGCACTTCGGCTCTTTTTCTTTGCGGCTGCATGATCATTTTCGCACATCTTCCTTTTAGCTCTCGGTTTTGGCATCTTCTTCGTGAGGTACTGCGGCAAATTTGGAAGAATCGTGGGGACGGAGTTTTCCGACAGCATCGGTTTATCACGAGGAATGCGTACCTCTTTGCCATCTGTATGGTGCACGAACTCCTTGATAACGAACCTCGGTTAGAATAGCAGTTCGCAGACCACAGAAAACTCATCCAGTTTCTTATCTGCACGGTGGAGATTTCTTTCCCACTCCTTCCGCCGTTCTTCATCACGCGGGACGCTGAACAAAGACGCCTGTGGTGCATCCTGCACACGACTGTACCCGGTTCGACAACCGGGCGCAAAACAGTAATTTCGACGGCGGTTAGGCATCTTCACGAACACATACTACACAATGATCCAAGCATAAAGCACAGAACACGCACATGGGGGTACCCACGTTGATCCAATCGAACCGATCGAACTGAACTGAGCGAACCAGCCCCGTCCGCCAACACAGTCAACACGAACCAAGAGAAGTTTTTCAGGATGGATGGATGGATGGATGGATGTGGCTGTACCCTTTAGATCGGGCGGCGGCTAACGCCACCTAGCCGTAATACATAGTGAACTAACCATTACATTTATCTTTTTTTCCTTTAAATAATGAAGTTGAGGATTCGTACTTCGCAGTGAAGGGTTTAATTTTCACTCGTGCCTTGACTTTAGCCACCAATCAGATAACCTCCTTCTAGT